CACAGGGCTGACAAAACAAAACAGCCTACTTCAGTTGGCAAACTTAGAATGCCAGTAGATTATACAAACGACTGTCAGAATTGTCTCACAGTGTACAGTCTGAAAGTTTGAAATTTTTGGAGTTTTAAGAGTTTTCTGTAGATCTTTGCTGCCATCTAGATATCACCTGGGCTTTTGCAAGCCAAATATGGTAGTCATCCAGGTGCAATCAGTTTTGTTGAAGGCATGGGTCAAGGAAGGGCCACAATGGGTAGGCCCCAAGGTGGCGGATTCCTCTGTCTTCACTATATTGATGCTTTTGCCCCTGCCCCTCCCCCACAGTTTTGATTCATCATATGGAGATACTGATTATGATGCTCTTACAACAAATCTTCTTGAATACAAGTATATTTTAAATGCTGGAAAATAGCTAACTAAACTCAGTCCTTGCTCTCAGTATTCTTGTAGAAAAACAGTGAAGCATTTATCCTAGGTAAAGTTTGTTCTTTATTTGTATGCTAGCTGCTAGGAAATTTAATTATTCTGGTTCTTGCCTACCTGAGGAAACAAGCACTGAAAATCTTGGTGGGAACAAAATGTTTTCTCAAATGGAGTTGCTGGCGTGTATCCCAGATTTCCTATGACATTGCAGGAGTCCGGAAGTCTGGCAGTTCAAACATAACATTCTTTACAAGGACAGATAGCTAGAATGAATATATATATATATTCATTCTAGCTATAAATACACACACACGTACACACGCACACACGCACACACGCACAAAAAGCATCCAGTGATCATAGCAAGAATACCATAGAACCCTTCCATCAAAACAACAGAAAACAAAAATAATTTTTTTGTATCATTGCTATCTTTTGGAAAATGGAAAGTCATGCATTATCTGCTTCAATTGATGGATTAATGTGGTGTTACGCACAGCCCACGTAGGCGCAGCTGGATTGTCAACCCCACTGCCACAGCACAGGATACAAAAGGAAGGCACCCCACATAGACAAACAAAGGAAAGTGGAGACAGCAGAGCCCGCAGCTGGATAGTGGGCGGAGCAAGAGGCTCAGAAAGAACCTTCCTGGTTTCTCTGGCTATAAAGGAGAAGGCGGGAGAACTGTACTGTCAGACTTGCAAGAATCTATTAATGTAGCTTTATAATAAAGTAGAATTAGCTTATCTGGTCGTGTTTTCTGTCTGGTCTGACTGGTAAGGCTGACATTGTGGGATGTTAAGTGATGGTTGTCTCTCCTGCTATCTTGAGTCCCCCCCCCCGTTTTGTGAGATGGGCAGCATATAAATTTGTTAAATAAACAAACAAACAAATAAATAAATAAATTGCCTTTTCTGGGATATTTTTGAACTTTCCAGTCTACTCTACAGTCTATTGTATTTTTATATAGCTTTAGATTTTATTATATTATTGTGCACATTCATTATTTTCTTTCACTGTTCCTTTCTGATTGTATTTTAATACATTGTACTCAATTGGATTTGAGGGCTGAAGAGTTTTGAGATTTCATTTATTCCCACTTCACCTCCCCCTATCCCACTCATGCCCTCCTAACGTTCCAGATATCTGTGCTATTGCCTTATGCTATGGAAACATGAATAGGAAGACAGGCTATTAATTTGGCTAATGGAGATAGAACTCAAGTAAATACCTTGTAGATCCTCTGAGAACAGTAAATGTACAAAGTATGGTGATTACGTGCTAAGCAGTGGTGATGTTTTCAATGGCTACCAATCAAAAGTCAATGAACAGCTGTTTTGTCTTTCAATTCATTTTCTGTGGTAAGAAAAATGAAGAAAGAATTGATTAGAAAACATGCAAATGTTACAAATGGAACATACGGGAAAATGAAGCAAAGTAACTGTGCAATAAAAACTTTGTCTGGAATCACCTCTAGTATAAAAATAGCTTTGTTCATCATCCATCACCAGCTATCAAAGGAAAATCTGGGAACTCAAAGTTTCTAGCCAACCAATTCTTATTTATTTCTTCTATCTTTCTCTTAGTTCTCCCCAGTAATCAGGCAAATCTCCAACCATTATAGTATCTATAATGCTTCTTACTTTGAGTACAATGCAGATGGTAAACGAGACCCAAACAGCAGTAACAGTGATCAATGTGAATCCAGTTGTTCTCTTAGAGCTAGTATTGTTTAACCTCTTCTGTATATAGCCACCGTTTGGAGTTATGATAGAGAGTGCTGTGATTTGTAGCTAACAGCCAATGCTATCAATATTGCTTGTATAAGCTAGCTTCAGTTTGCTGCCAACGTTAATACCTCAGTTATACAGCACCCTCTCTCTGCTACCTCATTCCAGTATAGTGTCTATGTAACTGATGCAACAAGTCACTAGCACAATGGGACCATAGTATGAGGATGTCATCTGAGTAAAGCCAAATGATTTATTCTCCTCTAATGCATATTAAATTGCTCTAGGATAGTACCTCAGTTCAGACAGTTCCTGTTGCATCTAGCTTATTCCTGTCTGCCCTTATGGAAATAAAACACTACATAGTCAGAACCATACACAGCCTTCCCCAAAGTGGTATCATCCAGACATATTTGACTACTACTTCCATCATCCAGACAGTATGGTAAGTGGTGCTTGACATATTTGAAGTAATCCCTAATCCTGATTACCTTGACCACAGGAATCCAGTGGATATTATCATAGCTTAAGTTTAACAAGGCATCTGACATAGTTTCCCATGAAATTGTAGTAGAGAAGATGGAAAATATGGGCTGGGCTATATTAACATTCCTTGGATACAAAGCTGGTTCAACAACTGTGTCTAACAATTGTACACCAAAGGCTTTGCATCAAGCTGGAGGGAAGTGTTGAGTGGTCTATTGAAGAGCTCTGTTCTAAGCCCATATTCATAAATTATTGTGATGAGGGGTTAGAATATATGATTATCAGATTTGGAGATGGCACAAAGATTGGGGGATAGAAAGCAGTTTAGAAGGCAATATCAAGAGTTAGGAAGTTCCTGACAAGAAGGAATACTGGAAGTTTACTTTCCACAGGGGCAAATGCAAAGCCCTACATTGTATAGAGCTGGAAAAATCTAAATTCCTCAGCTTACTGATTATAAGGATGTAAATGTTCAAGGCTTTTCAACTTGGAGGTCTCAAACTTATTAGAATCTCTGCAAGGAAATAACGAACTTGCAAAGTTTGAACACCTACAAGCCAGTTTCTGACAATGAACTATGTTTAAAAACTACAGGGATGAAGGGAGATACGTGACAAAGATAAATTACTTACTGACAGTATTATATAGGTTACTAAGGTCAAAATAGGTGCAAGATGATCTAATGAATTTTGCAAAATTAAATTAATGGACAATTGGACATTTTGTTATTTTTAAGCAATGCATTAAAGCTTGAGAACTTACTCATCTCCCTCTATATCATTTTGGGATATTATATTATTCACCAACAAAATGAAACCAAGTCACATGGATGGAGGGGATTTAGAATCTACATGTTGCAGACCTAGCAAAATATGAACTTGCAAATGTTCCTATAGAAATCAGTAGGATTTAGAATTTTTTTCTGCATATGATCCTTAGTCACAAGAACTAGCTGAGTTTAATTTTGTTATAGATAAGATCAATAAGATTAAGAGGGAAATGCACATACTTTTAAAGATTGTATCTTAATTTCCCATCATCCTATTAAAGAACCTAAATCCCAAAATAGAAGCATAAAGTCCACCCTTTCTGAGGACTGATATGTGTTTATAGACATTTTATTAGTTATCAATTCCAGCAAAATCTAAGGATATTAAAAAACAAAAACAAAACTGCAGTAAACTCTAAGGATATTAAAAACAAAACCACACTGCTGTTAACTCTGGTTTTTAATATCCTTAGATTTTACTGGAGTTTTTCCTAATTCCTTTGCTTAGTGCTTTCAGTTGGAAACTGCTCTGCCCTTTTTCTGTGGTCCTTTCTCTTGTGGGCTGTTTCCGAATTTGGGGAGGAAGTCATGCCCTTTCTAAATGCCACATACCACTGATTTGGGAAGTACCATTTAAGAAGATTAAGCTTCCTTTCTGCAGAACAGGCATACTTTTTACTCTATATGGTACCTTTTCCATCTTCACTGTTGAATCAATTCCAGTGAAATCTAAGGATATTAAAAAACAAAAACAAAACTCCAGTAAAATCTAAGGATATTAAAAAACAAGACCACACTGCTGTAACTGAAAAATAATGACAGCTAACTCTGGCTGAAACAATGTTTGCTAATGTGGGAACAGTCTTCCTTAAGCTGAAACAAACTGCAGAGCAAAGCAAAAGCCGTGCAAATGAGTGTGCAAGTTAGTACAAAATATTATTTTATGTTAACTCCTAAGTGCAAACTCCTAGTCTCCAAAAAATCCTCTGCCAAGATTCCTAATTCCTTTGCTTAATGCTTTCAATTGGAAACTGACTGCTCTGCCCTCTTTCTGTGGTCCTTTCTCTTGTGGGCTGTTTCTGAATTTGGAGAGGAAGTCATGCCCTTTCTAAATGCCACATACCACTGATTTGGGAAGTACCATTTAAGAAGATTAAGCTTTCTTTCTGCAGAACAGGCATACTTTTTACTCTATATGGTACCTTTTCCATCTTCACTGTTGAATGTCTGACACTCCCATCTTTCTACATTTTCAAACAGATTACAAGTAAAGTGGCTGCTTGGATATCCTCTAATTTTTTTCCCCTATTTGGAAATTATCAACCAGATATTGGAATATAGTTTTTAATTCAGAAAGCTGACATCAGAATTTGATACTTACAGGTCCAAACTTTAACCCCAGAATATTTTTTCCTTTAGAAAATTGCCCTTGGCCTTTTGGTGAAATTATTTACAACAAAAAGTAATAAATCAAATGCCCATCATTTTAAGATTTTTTCCCCCCCCCCAAAGAGTAAGCCAGAACTATTTCATCTAGAACTTTAGTGCTCTTCAGAGAGCTCTCCCTTCCCACACAAGAGGTCCACACCAGCATCTGTTAGTGTCAGGTATAAAATGGTTTATTTAAAATGCAAAATATTTGTAAAACACATATATAGACATTGGTAAAAAATAAAGCCCACATAGGCATGTATAAGATGCAACAGAGTTTTGCATTTTCATACCAAAAGAACAGGTATGTAAGACTTTAAATGGCAGTGTTGTTCAACTGCTGCACAGCAGCAAAATAAAACTTTGTTTATACAGAGTCTTTTTGGACTGCAGTCTTTCATACAGAGCAGATGTTCTCTCACTTTTGGGAATCTGCCCCTTAAGATGGGACAAATGTCCTATGAGCTGCAGTTCACCATCTTCTCATTATTGCAAAGAACAGTCTTCCTATGAGGCATGTTGCCTGTTCACGGAATTCCTCAAAGCCAGCACCTGTTTGCCTTTTTCCTGTATCACATTCTCCTGTTTCTGAGGCACAATCGCCACCTCCTGCTCTCTTTTTGTCAGTGGCAGAACAGGCCTTTTCTTTTTCTCCTCCTCCTCTTCCTCCTCCTCTTCCTCCAGCCTCCCCTCAGAGGTGAAAGGGCTGCAGACAGTCTCCACCAGGCCAATAACCACCCCAAAGAATGCCAGCATGCTCCCCAGCATGTACAGCTTGACCATCTTCCCATTGGGCTTTTGGCTCAGCATCTCTTTCGCAAAGGGGATCAGCTCTTGCATTGTTTCCATGGTCTGGCTACTTGGAAACACCTAGATGGAGAAACATATGAGAAAAGTAGGTCAGTTACAGCTCAGATTGTGAAGACCACCCTACTCTGAAGGAACAGTTTTTCCCAACAGAGGCTCAGCAGCTTACAGAGCCTCATTATACAACTACAGCAGATGTACTTCTAATACAGACAGTCTAAGTATAATTCCCCTTGTGTGGCCAGGCAGATGTAATAGCATGAGTTCAAAATCATGAGGCTTTAAAAAAAAGAAAAGAAAAGAAAATAGCCCTTTTCTCCAATACAGCCCCACGAATCTCTCCCTTGAATTCAGGCAGCCTCTTCGCATAGAGGAGACCAGCCACAGCTCGGCTCTAAACCAACACCATAGCTTGGATAGTCAGAAGAAAAAAAAAAAATCCTCCGGCCTTACCTCTAAGAAATTGTCCGCCTCGCTCGGAGCAGCCGCTGAATTCGCAGCACCGCTTTCGACTCCGCGCAGAATCACTGACCCGAATTTCTCCACGCCAGTTGACTTGACAGTCGCCGGCCTCCCCGCTTTATAGTTCCACGCTTGCTCGAGGCCCCGCCCCTATCCGGGCCGACTCTCGGTTTCGTCCGTGCAGGCTGCTGGCCAATGGGACTGCCCATGCGCTGAGCACGCCGCGAGCCTCCAGCCATTGGCCAACGGCAGAGCCTCCTGGCCCGGTAAGGCTGGCAAAGGGCAGCGCAGCTGGAGGTGTTCGGCGCCAGCTCCCAGGAGAGGCAGTGGGGAAGGGCGTCCAAAGCACGCAGGCAACAGCAATAAATCACGCTCATCTATCATCCTGGAGAGAGTCACGTAGCATCTGTCCAGGCGGCCTCCGCCAGTTTGCAAAGGGAAGCAGTCTGCTGTTGAGCGACGTGCGCCAGGGCCCGTGTTGGGGTGACCTTCACTCTTCCCCTTAAAACCGCATTGCCTTAAACGGACATTGCGGAATTCAGAGGAGGCTTAATGGGTGACTCGTTACATTGTTTTGCTTTGTTAAACGATTTGAATTTTAACTCCCCCCCCCCAGATTTCGAGCAGTGAACTGCAAATGCAGGTTACAGCAAAGCGAGATTCCCTGATTTTCCAAAGGCAGGCCCCTGAATCGATGTTTTAAGATGGCTTTAAAAGAAGGTTAGACCCAATATGGTATAGAAAGTTACCAATGGCTGCTTGCTGACAAGGTGACACTCAAGGCAGTTTACCTCTAAATGCCAATTGCTGAGGAATGAGGTCAGGGAAACCCTGTGGCACTTAAATTCTGCTTGAAGGATTCTAGATGGTGTTTTTCAAACTTGGCAACTTTAAGATGTGTGGACTTCAAGTCCCAGAATTCCCTAGCCAGCATGCTTGCTGGGTAATTCTGGGAGTTGAAGTCCACACATCTTAAAGTTGCCAAGTTTGAAAAACACTGATCTAGATGCTGCTCTTATTCTCTTAATGGCAAGATGTGCCCATGTATAGGTGCTCAAAACACCCACATGGCTACCAGAGGGATACAGATTTTCCTGTGCTGTATTTCTGCTGCCTTCTCATGGTTGTCTGGAATTTTGCAGCCAAAGAGGGTAGCTCTGTTCTTTCACAGCGTTCTGGCCTACCATAATTTATTTTGGCAGCCTTTTGCCTTGAGAAGACAGCATTTCATCTAATTATATTACATACGTTGCCACAGAGAAAAGGGAAATATTACATATGAGGGCCATTTCGGTTTTACCCTCACAGTAGCCTTATGAAGTAAAGTTGAGTGACTCTGGCAAGTTTCCTTGGTGGCCTCACGGACCAACAACGCTATGAATCAGAGTTTTCCCCAACCAAATCAGACACACGGGTTTGCCACATTTGCTTCTTGATTCTATAGTCCACTTCTACTTGCGTTTGTGGATGTGTGCGTATACACACATTTCAGCTTTATCCCTCCTTTTCAAGGCACCCCTGTTCCATTTTTAACAATCTTATGAGTAGGTTAAGCAGAGAGGCAATGGTGGCCCAAATCACTGAGCTGTGTGGCTGAGGGGAATTTGAACATAAGCCTCCCCAGCTACTCTTCTATACCGACCGTTGAGGTTCTCCATGTTAAGAATCAATTACTTTGATTAAAGAAGCACATTTAGACTCCAAGCTGGTGAAAGTCGGCCACTTCTCCAGAGACCTTTCCAGTCCTTTCTTCTAGCACACAACTTGATTCATCCAGGTGAAAGGTGAGCATCCCCCTCTTCCCCCCCCTTTTTTTAATGCATGCGGGTTTAGAATGTTTTGGAGTCAGTTCCCTTTTTGTACACAGGGCACACGGGTCTGGGACTTTACTCCAGGGATCTGCATTCTATTTCTGTCGACTGAGCCACTATGCAGCCTTGCATAAGCCCTCTCACCTCTCACCCAGTGGCTGGGCAGTCTCTTTGGACAATAAGGGATTGTGACTATGTCTGCGCCTGTTGCAGAAATGGCCCTTGTTGCCACAAAACGATTTTACAGTTTGATTTGTATAACCGACGGTCTGAAAAGTTAGAACAACAACCAGTAGAACTTGGTTCAGGCTTTCAGAATTAATGGATGGAAGAGAGAAAGGGCAGCTGGAGTCAGGCAGATGGCCCTGTCCTCAGTGTCCTCATCTAGACATCCCCATCCAGTCCTTGGGTACAACTGCCCAAATCTGAGAAGGTGCAATAAGGTGTAGAAGCTTCCATGTTCAGAGTCTAGTGAAAGTGGCAGAAGGAATGCGTAGAGGTGGAACTCTAATGATCTTTTCCGGTAAGTTTTGATTTCAAATGACCGAAGGGGGTTGGTGAAGGGAAGAGATCCTGAAAAGTCTCAGGATGTATTGGTTTCTTAGGGCTAATCTGTAGAACTGCCTTGCCATAGCGTGAGTACAGGCCACTGACTATTTCTCAGCAGGAACTCATGATGCCACTCTCTTCCTGCTATGGATTCAAAGTAGTGTTTTCCTACTTATGTCTTGCAAATGGTGATGTCTGATTCGTTGCTGCGGTTCATTTCGTTGTAGGCAGACACGTCCATAGCAATTGGCTGTTGCCACTGGAATGCCCGCTCCCCTCTAGACATTGATCACTACCCTTCATCAGTGTTTCCCAAGCTTGGCAACTTTAAGATGTATTGACCAACTCCCAGAATTCTGGGAGTTGAAGTCCACACATCTTAAAGTTGCCAAACTTGAGAAACACTGCCCTTCATGGCTTTTTTTTTTTTTTTTACAAGTTCACCAGTGAGACAGTCAGAGGCTAGTTTCCCCCTCCCCTCTTTTTTTAAAATCACCAATGGAATGTGGAAACCCAGACTTTCCTTCTCTCCTTTTTAATCTTGTGAAATCGACAAGAGTTCTATCACTTTCTTTTTCAAATACAAGTAACAGCAAATGGCAATACTGTTGTGTGTTTTCACCTTTTCCACCAATGGGAAGGTGTTAAGTTATGAGGGGGAGTCAGTGGCAAGGAACTTATACAAAAGGTCCATCAATGGAAATCAGATGTCCTCAAACCAAAGGAAAGCAATTCATGATTCCTTTTCCAGGCATGAGTGGAAGGGGTAAAGAAGCAGGGGAATCACAGGACATTTTTGGGGCAAAAGACAGAAAACCAGGACATTATTGGGGCAAAAGTGGAGAAAGGGGTTGAAATCTGGAAAGGGACTTCTTAAACTGACTTCATTTCTAGTCAGGATACAAGCAGCTTTAGGCTGCCATGCAGAAAAGCCCTTAGTTTCTTTTAATAGTCCTCCATTTGAATTCAGATACAAAATAGTGTTTGGAGTGGGCAGAGCTAAATATTTGGCATCCCATAAGCCATATAATATAATGACATGTACATACAATTGCAAATTTACATCAGAATGAATTGAAATCTATAATTTTCTAACAGAATAATTGGGAAGGATTTTTCCTGTAGTAATGAAGATGTGCTAGGAGGTCAAACTAGTCAATCTTAAAGGAAATCAATGCTGACTGCTCATTGGAAGGATTGATAATGAAGCTCAAGCTCAGATACTTCAGTCACCTAATGCGAAAAGAAGACTCCTTGGAAAAGAACCTGATGCTGGGAAAGATTGAAGGCAAAAGGAGAAGAGGACGGCAGAGGA